GTTGGTCAAAGGGTACAAACATTCAGGTACTAAAGGAAGTTCCAGGGAATCTCATGTACTGCATGAAATAAGTAATAATGATACGTGATAATACGATAAGTAGTAATACTGCATGGCTTACTTGAAATTTGCCAAGAGATCAGATCTCATGTATCCTCACCACCTACCTACACACACACACACACACACAAATTTAACTGTGCACAGTGGAGGCTGTGTTAACTAGTTTGTGATCATTAGTATATAATGTATAAGTATTTCGTTATTATCATGTTGTTACACCTTGAGTACATTCAATTTTTATTTATCAATTATTTCTGAATATAGCTGAAAAAATGAAAGTGTTTCTAAAATAAAAGAAGAATCCTAGAGACAGCAAGTGGCATGATGATGGGGCACTGCACTGCCACAGCCCCAACCCTGGTTCAAGCCCCGGACCCTACCTGGTGGCTTACTTTCTCACTCACTTTCTCTGGTGAGCTATAAAAATAACAATAGTAAATAAAACTAAATAAATAATTATTTTTTAAAAAGGAGAGAAGAATCTTTAAATATGAGTGGACGTAAGCAGATAGTCCTTACAAACTCTTTAATACCACATTGATATAGTTATTAAATTGGGGGAGGGGATACTAGAACCCAGTATAATTAAAATCAGCTCACAGGATGTCTCTAATAAAATTTTATTTAAACTTTTTTTGTTCATTGCCAGAGGGAATGTGTGCTTGCCAGAGAGAGAGAAAGCACCACCCACAACAGGACACGGTCACACCACAATCCCCTCCTTCTCCATTCCTCCCTCCCATCAGGACCTCGGACACGCTCACACACGTGCCTGGCATGTCCCGACAGCCACCAGAACTGGGATTCGAACACACGCTCAGCCACGTGAGGGCTAGCTTTCCATGCACAGCGCTGAGCCTCGGTGCTACGGGCTGGCCCTCTAGTACGTTTAATACAACACGTGTATCTACAAGACTCGCAGTCTACACTTGGTACAGTCACGCGTGGGCACTGTGTAATCATCTGATTTATTACGGGTTAGAGAGATACATACAAAAAGTTTCCGTGCGTTGAATTTTCTCTCTGACTCTCCAAAGGCAAGGTACTGTATTTTTATCTGTTCAGATTACAGGTTTTGCTGGAATTAGAGACAGGCAGCATACGGACATGTGCTGTTGCTGGTGGTGAGTGTGCATAGCTACAGAACGCAGGGCTTTTCTGATCATCTAAAGCATGTATTGTCATCACGCGAAAACCAGCTTTCAGTTGCTCTTGGTGAGAACTGTTCTATAAGAGGCCTCCGAGTCGGCGACCCCCAAGGCCACACCTCTTCAGTGATCTCTGTGTAGTGGTGACTCCACAGAATGGCTTGGGAAATGTATAAATGTATGTGTATTCTTCTAAAAGTCACAGTAAGTAGGTGGCTGTGGCCAGTCAGGTTTTAAACGTCTGCTATCAATTAAAAGGAAAGAAATTCCTGAATTTATTAAATAGTCTCCCATTTGGGTACAGAAAAACAGATCTGTTTCTGCCATACCTGCCAATAGCCAGGAGGAAAGGGCATGAAAGAAAACAGGCACTGGCCTCAAGAGGGGGGAGAGAACCAGAAGCTGGCATGATGATAAGGCACTGGACTCCCAATGGCCAACCACAGTTCGAATCCCAGACCTGGCGGTTTGTTTTCTCACCCACTTTCTCTTTCTCTCTCTCTCGCTCTCTCTCTCTCTCCCTCCCCCTCTCTCTCTCCCTCTCTCTCGTCCAGGTAACCTACAGCAAACTATAAAAATAAAAAAAAAAAACAAGAAAGAATATTAAATAAATAATTCTTAAAAAAAAGAAAAAAATCTTACCACCACCCCATATTTTTTATTGGAAAAATAAAATTTGTTTTCCAGTAAGATATTTCATTTTAAAAAAAAATCTGTTTCTACTCAAGGCTAGAGTTCTATTTATTTTTAAATGAGGCACACGAAACCTCCCAAGTGCAGCTCAGATTTACATCTGGCTAACCCTCCGAATGTGTCTGACCCAATTCATGCTGTTTACTTCTAATGAGTCCTGTGATTTTTTTTGGAAAACACGTGTGAGAGAGAGCAAATTAACCACTGCGGGTCAGCAGCAAGCAAGAGCTGGCCTGGGAATCTCGTGTGAACGAATCCTGCAAGTCAATTTCTAATCGCACTTGCCAGAAACTTGGGAGGAAGAGGTGATAAACCCTGCCAAGAAAATCAGTCCTAGAACTCCTTCCCTTCCTTTTTCCATGGGCTATTTCAACACTCGGCCAGCAAATACAGCTCAACCTCTCCTTTCCCTAACTTCAGAGACTGCAAGGAAGCCTCCGGTCCCGTTGCTGCTCTGAGAAAAATTAAAAGCCTCACACTGCAAAATGTAATATCAGCCTCTCCAAGTTCCTGTCCCGCAGCTACGTCCACTTACATGAAAGAGAGCGAGAGGCGAGAAGGCATGTCATTTGTCTGTGACAGGAACGTATAATCTGCCAAGATGCCTATAGGTAAGTAGACAAATCCTAATGGAATTTCCTTACGTAGCCTGAAACTGGCCAGAAGTTTTATAGAAAGGGGCAGCACCATCAGAAACCAAAACAACAGACACAAAAGCTAGAGGTGGCAGGGAAAAAGCTCCCCAACAGCAGGTCCCTGGGTTGCACTGTCGCAGAACCACCAAGGCTGAAGGACTGACTCCTCGGAGGTTAAGGCCCAGGAGGCCGCACACTCGCGGGACATTTTCGTCTTATTTCCCAACCGAACCCCCAAGCACATGCCTTTACTGGTGGTTCTAAAGTATGACCGCAATTAGAATCGTCCAGAGCCTTTAAACCATTCTAGTGTGGTACCACCCACTCGCAACCCAATCGAAACCAGAGGCTCTTGGGGGTCAAGCCAAGGCATCTGAACCAGGGGCTTTCAGAATCCCCTCAGGTGATTCAACTGAGCGCCAATAGTTGAGAACCACTGCTTTAGAGAAATGGTCTTCAGAGATTCAAAACGAAACAAAACGAAAATGAGAACAAGCAGCCGCAGCTCATCTCCCTACCAAATACACCCAGCTCTCCAACGTCTCCCAGCCAGTCCTGTCCCAGGAAGTCACAGCCACCACGTCCACGCACTGCTCCCATGCACGTTCATGACACAGGATGCAGGCTGCGTTCGCTGCCCTGCCCAGGTGGGCCTGGGAGCGGCTTGCTACAGGCCCCAGATGCCAAGGAAGGGCTGGCAGCCAGCATGGTGATCCGGGGTGTACAAGCATCCTGTTTCCGAGCGAGTCGGCCTAACTTGCAAACATAAACACAAAGGCAAGCACAAACCGGGCGTGTAGAGCACAGCATTCTGGTTTTCTTTAGACCAGTTGTTCTCTTCAGGCTTCTGTGTGTGAGAACCACCTAAAGGGCTCGTTAGATGCTCTACTCTCAGCCCAGCACAGGGGTACATGCTGCTAAGACACTGTTGCTCTGCACACGGGGACAACATGGAAGCCCCGGGTTTGATTCCCAGTCCCACCTCAAGAGCCGGGCATGGTGGTGTGTGCTCTCGGCACCTCGGGAGGTGCAGCATTGGGATCGTGAGCTCAAGGCTGGCCTGGTCAGCAGACAGGGGGCACCAGCAGGTAGCGTGGTAGGTAAGAAATCGGACTCTCCCAGGGCCGACTGCAGTTTGAGACCCAGACCTGGTAGCTGGAAAATCACCCTGGGCACATGTGCATGTGTGCCCAAATTCCTGAGAGGAGTGGAGAAGAGAGTGAGGCGTGGCCATACCCCGTGAGGGGTGATTTCTCACTTTCCTTGTCTCTGTCTCTTTTGGATGAATGCATAAACCCAACAGTAAAACCTAAAAAATATTTTAAATGAATTAAAAATTGTAATGAATTAAAGTTTAAAAAGCCAGGAATGATGGTGCAGGTCCCTAGCGCCAGGTGTAACTCGGGCAGGAGGTCCTGTCTTAAAAAAACGACTTCACTCCCAGTTTCACCACATCAGTGAGGCTGGGCCAGGGTCCAATCTGTAACTCAGACACGCTCCCAGGTGACAGTGACACTGCTGGTCTCGGCGCCACACCTTGAGAACAGCTTCCCTGACCTAACCTCCTGACACCTCCGAACATCTGAACCACCAGACGGAAATGTGTCTTAATAGCATCTCTCTCTACAATGAGGACAGAGAACATTGGCCAGACACGAAGTATAAAGAAACACCGCCCACCACTGCTGTAAGTGCAGGAAGTGCATTCTCATCTGTAAGAGATACATATTGAGGGACCAGTAGCTGACATAATGGTTACATCACTGGACTCCCACGTAGTCGACCATGGTTCGAGTCCTGGACCCAGCAGCTTAAATCTAACACAGGGCATGTGTGCATGTGTGCCCGAAATCCCTAGGGGAGAATGGAGGAGAAAGGACTGTGGTATGGCCATCCTCCCAGGGGACAATTTCTTGCTTTCTGTCTCTCTGGCGAGTGCACGTGCCCTATAGCAAAAGCTCTTTGTTTCTAAAAAGAAAAAAAGAGAAAGAAAGAGAGAGATACATGTTGAAAACAAGTTAAAAACCTGTGGCTAGAAGTGGCATGGCCTGGAGACCCAGCCTTCCCACTCAGAGAGAAACCCGGTCCTGAAGTTGAGGCTCACCCTCCTGGGCGTGTTTCACATCACTATCATGTGCATGTTGGGGGGTCTTCCAACGGCTCATGGACAACGCATGTTACGAGAAAATGATGCCTGGATTTCAACATATTTTGCATCAAAATAAACATATACTTTAATTTCATTTTCCCATGAACTTAGTGAAGTACTGTCATATGAATAAATAAAATAAAAAATATGATTTAAAGCAATTGCATAAATTGAAAATAAACACACACACCAACGGAGAGCAGAGGCATAAGGGCCATCAGAAGGCTGATGCACCCCAGGAAAGAGAGTGGGTAGGAGGCAGGTTGTAGCCCAAAGGGTTCAGGGTGATCCTTCAGCCAGAAAGGCTCTTACCTGGATACGCTGGGTCTGACGGCTTCTGCAGTCACCTGCAAGGACTGAGAGAGAAAGGAAACTGAGTCAAAAGTTGCAAGAGCCAACCGGAAGACATAATGGGGTAAGCTTCCATCTGCCTTGGAGGTTCTTAGTGGAACATTTGGAACGTTGACTTTTTATCGGACTTTACTATTAAAGACAGTGGCACTCAACTGTTCTCCAGTGTCCCAGGGCTTGGCTGCAGGGAGCCAGGTCCTCATCACACCCAGAATAACACTGCATGTGCTCAGTGGGGCTGGTTTTAGCCCCCACCCTGCTTCTATTTTAAGCATTGCAAGCAAGTCATGACGTCTCCGGACCAAGATGAAAGGGTCTGAGTGTTCTCCAAGGACTCTCAAGGGTATTATTACATCATTTTCATCATATGTCAACTAGCGATTGCATGGTTACTAGTCCTGGGACGTCACAGAAGAAGGAAAAAGCTAGCACGAATACATACGCTAGGCCCTGAGTAGCTCTTTCCTGTCCCTCGCGTCACTCAGCCAATAAAGGGATTCTGAGAGCAGCAAAGTCAGGCCATCAATGTTCAGTGGCCTGCCTGAGGCCACAGATCAAAACCCGGCCATCAAACCCCAGCACTGGCTGGCCAAGCCCAAGGAAGAGGTCCTTCCCTGTACACCACAGGCCAGGCACTGAGGCCAGCCCAGTGCTGGTGCAGCCACCTGAAAGCCACAGTGAATACGACTCCAGGGTGGAAAAAGAAGTGCAAGACTATATCAGAGGTCAAGAAGGCTTTCTGTGGGGACCAGCACTTGGCGTGGTGGTTAGGGCACTGGGCACTCCCACATGGCCAACCACGGTTCAAGTCCCGGACCTGGTGGCTTGCTTTCTTACTTTCCCTCTCTCGCTGTGTCTCTCTCTGGTCAAATTAAATGAATAAATAAATAAAATAGAATAAAATAATTAATTCTTTAAAATATGGATCTTAAAAAAAAATAAAAAAGGCTTTCTGTGCCCCAACTCATTGAAAATAACAGTCACGACCACGCAGTTCCAAACAGCACGCTATGACCTGCCATGACAAGACAAGACGGGAGCTTGGAAGTTTGACTCTCCCTTAAAAGTTTTAAAGGCTACACCCCCAAACTGAATTTCTACTCACCTGGTCCCAATAGCAAGCCTCTTTACAATTCATGAAAGGTTCAACTACGTCACATAAAGTGGCCTCTTTTTTCTTTCTTTCTTTCTTTAAGGACAAACTATTGTCTGGGGATTAGAAATGCACTTCGTCTTAGGGCCAGGCCGTGAAGCCGCTTCAGAAGGTGAACATGATGCAGCAAACAGCAACTGGCGAGCTCCCGGGCTCAAGGTCCTCTCTCTCCATGGAGGGAGCACTTCACTGGTGGAGCGCGGTCGTCCACTGAGTCACATGGTAACAAAACCTATCAGGTAGATGAGTGGTCTGATCCAGGACACAGCTGCTCGGCTCGGTCCAGGCTCGAAATAATTCAGCATTATCACCCTCCCCCACTAAGTACAGTTAGTTTTACGGGAGGGAGAGAATAAGCGTGGATAAATAACATGGCCGCCACACGCCATGACGGCGGAGAACGCCAACTGTGCCCAGGGCACCAACTGCTCCGAGTTCCCACTGACCTCAAGGTGCTAATGAGGGAGTTATGCTAAGACTGCTAGAAGGCATCCCACACCCACTCAGCCTAACCCGTTCCAGACGCGGCTCCCACAGCACCGCAGGGGGGCCTGGCTAATTGGGCTGTGTGGAACACGTGGCCTGAAATCGGCCACAGCACCGTGCATCCCCCGGCCACACCGCACCCACACCCACACACACTTTCCCGCCTGTTCTCCACGCAGATTTTAGGGTTTTTTAAATCTATATAGGCGCAATAAATGTAGCTTTTAAAATTACAGTGCAGCTTGTATGACGGTTTTAAAGGGCAAAAAGAAAACAGGTAAGGATGGTTTGTGTAAGCACACATGGGGGAGACGGGTGGTAATGACCAGAGACACAGACAACAGACACCTGGGGAAGAGAGACCCTCTAATCACATTAGCTTGCAGATCTGAAGGGGGGGTGGGGTTTGCAGGATTTCCCTTTACACACAGCAACTTCAAAAAAATCCCCATTTTCTTAGCATGTCTTTATATAGGAAAGCCTGTGTGCCTTTGAAGCCTCAACACAAAACAAACAAGAGTCTTTACAAGTTCTGCCTGGCCACCCAGGGAGAAGCAAATAGTGTTTTTTTCTCCAGAAGGCCACCCCAGGATACCACGAACAGAAAGGAAAAGGGGGAATTACCCGCGTAACCCTCATGTGCTTTTGCAGAGCATTTACTACACTATTTTCATCTAAGTAATTCGTATATTTTTAGGCAAGCGAAAAAAGACCTAATGACTCACTTATTGCACAGAAGCAGTTTTGAAATAGCAGAAAATATGTTAAAAGCTAAGAAATACCAGAAAGAAGGAAGATGAGGGAGTTTTATCAGAATGGCAAGAATTGAGTCGGGGCTTTTACAGGTGCCAAGGTTCACAATGCGAGGATGGCGGGGGGCCAGGAAAGCCATGTTCCTCAGTACAGAAACTTGGGACCAGAAGTTGGTGTAATGTTATGTTTCTGGAATCTCACGTAGCCAAGCGAGGTTTGAGTCCCAGACCCGGCGGCTTGAAACTCACATCGGGTACAAGTGTATGTGCGTGCCCAAAATCCCGAGAGGAGAACAGAGAAGAAGGGATTGCGGTGTGGCCATCCCCCTGGGGGTGATTTCTCATTTCTGTCTCTCGCCATATCACCAGAGAGCACACATGCCCTATAGCAAAAATCTAAGGGACAAGAAAGGAAAAAGAGTAAAAAGCTCCAGGCTGGGAAGGGGGAGGCCGGCGGAGGGGAGTTTCCTGAGCATCACAGGGGTGAGCTTAGGGGCAGGGAGGCATTTAGAACCATCAGCAGGTCTTACGGTCACTCTCAGGGCGGGTGGCATCTCTGCACACATTCTCCACTTGGGCCAAACGAAGACCAACTCCAGTAGCTGGACAATTAGGAGCCCCTTCTGCCAACCTCGCGCTGGCTCCCCAGCTGTCTCCATACGACCAGTGGCCAGCCGCCCTGCCTCGCCCTAAGCCCTGGCATTTTCACCCAGTCCCACCAGCTCACCAGCAGTTTCCTGCCACCCTCACCTCCCTAGTGACGCCAACGCTTTTCTTCATTCGTGACAGCACATGCAGACGTGGGCTAGGGAAACGGCAGAGCACGCTCACAAGCCCTCCACCCCCGCTCTGGGTCCTGGGCACTCCCACGTATGCCCGCATGCCTCCGGGACTGGGATTCAAACTCCCTCACCTTCCTTCCTTCCAGGCCAACCTGGACCTACCTAGCAGGGACTCAGACAACAGTCACCGCGTGGCTGCCAGCACTCCGTTGGGAGGGCCGCTGTTCACATCACAGCTCCCCAACCCCATTGAGACAGAGGATGAGACGGGGTGGCCAGGCTGCCGCATTTCCGTCTGCCACTGTAGGTCCAGGCGGGGCCTGCTGCTTCATCTCCTCTCCTGCCTCAGTGTCTCCACTAACGATGGAAATTAAGGGAGCAGTGTTCAGCACTGGGCCCTCAGTGATTGGGAAGGAGGATCAGCTAAACGAGGTCCTGAGAGTCCTTGGCTCTGCTTGCAGCTGAATCCCACCTTCCTTAACCCCTGCAAGCAAGATCACTTCCCCTTGTCTAAATCCCATCACAGCCCTGGGGCCAGCAGGTGGTGTGGTGGTTAGGTGCTGAATCCTCACGTGGCCATCCACAGATATAGTCCCAGACCTGCCGACTTGAGAGGAGAATGGAGGAGAAGGGATTGTGGCATGGCCACCCCCTGGGGGTGATTTCTCACTCTCCCTGTCTCTCCCCATCTCTCTCAGCCAAGTACATGTGTGTCTATGGCAAACACCTGAAAACGAATCCATCACACCCCACTTACAGCTGTGCTGGGCCCCGGCCATGTCCATGCCTCTGTGTCAACACAACTCCCACCCTGTATGCTCGGGGGCAGGCCCAGGACGGACCATGCCTGTATCCTGCCCCATGTTTGCACATAACCCGACTGGAGGGAACCTTTCAACAACCCACACAGAACTCACCCTGTAGACAAGGACAACAGTCCAAGCGAGGTGAAGAAATCCACCCCATTCACAGTGAAGATGCTTCTCCTACGTAACAAGGTGAGTGGATAAAGGGGTGTGGGGGGGTCAACGGTGTGTGTGTGTTGGGGAGGATGGACAGGCAGACATGGGACAGACAACCACTATACCGCAGGCAAGATGGCGTCTCCCCCCAACCCCTAGGGGATAGTACCCAGACCTGCTGCGTAATGGCCAGCTCCCCACTGCTTCTTCACTACTAAGCATTTTCATTTTCATTTTCATTTTTTTTTTCAGTGCCAGAGGGCATGTGTGTGTGTGCCAGAGAGAAAGCGCGCTCAGCCCAGGGCACCTGTTCGTCCCCTGTCCTGCACTCCTCCTGTCCAGCTGATCCTGGCCACACACACAGCTTCAGTGGTTTTCACGCCTCGGGGAGTGGGATTCAGACTGCAGTCGGCCATGTGGAATCGGTCCCTAATGCACAGCGCTGCACTGCTATGCCAAGGGGCTGGTCCTACTAAAACTGTTTAAGTGCCTTTTCTCTTTCTTACATTTTAAAGAAAATGTAATACTTTTATCAAATCCAGACCACCTCACCCCCCCTGGGGTGCACCCTCCTGCCGGGGTTTCAGTGAATGGCAGGACCGTGAGCCAGTCATGTGCCCACCCCCTTCCGCCCCCGCCGAGAGGCCACAGAGGACCATTCCGTGAAGCACCCTGCGCAATGTCACCGTCTGCCCCTCCAGTCGGCCACCTCCATCTGTCCCTGCATTTACTCAGTGAAGTGCAGCCCCGGCATGATAAACCCCATTGCAGACAGAATGCGGGGAATCGTGGAAAGGCAGATTGCAGAGCGCGTGGCAACATGCGGGCTTGAAGGTTTGGGGTCTCGGAGCCCCTTTGCCATCACTCTCC